GCTGACCATCTCTGTATCCGGTGGTAGGAAATGAAACAGCTCTGACCAGGACAGTCTAGCTCTGGATACATCATAATGACAGAAACCTTCTGAAACTGACTGTGAAGTGTCAGAATTTTAATAACATTTAGCTTGTCATTCCACAAGGCTGTGTTTCTAAAATTTTTGCTCTTCTCCTCCACTGTTTCTTTTCATTCCCTTCAACCCAAGTGCATGTTGGGAATAAACTATCTCAACAAGCTTGGTACTCTGTCCATCAACCCTCTAAGAACAGGACAGGACAGGATCAAATTAGGTTTAGCTATAGAAGCCAGCAAAAGAAGCATTCTGTATGAAAATGTGCCAGATCTATCCAGGGGTTGTAGAGAAAATTATTCCAGAAAATGTGTCAGGTTCTGGGAGATGCCATTGGGCAATGCTGCAGAAAGCGGCCAATTCTCCATTCTAAGCCCCTTCCTTTCCCCATAATCACATGATCTAGTTGGAAGTATATGTAGCACTCATTCATGAGTGGGGTATGTTCACTGGGTAGTTGGTTCCATTGGCAAAATGCTGCAACTTTTAGAACAATGTCCTTAACATTCAACTAGCATTTGTTTTCCTATAGCTTACCTATGTCATTTTGGGTTTTGACCTTCTTCTGTATGATATCCTTTTAGGGATTTCAAAAGTGCTATCCTATTCCCTTCAGTCTTCCTGTATCAAGAAAACATTTCCAGTACCTTCAAGCTGTCTTTGTATGACTTAATTTCTAGCACCCTGATCATCTTTTTGCCCTTCTCTGAAACTGTGTCAGTTTATCTGAATCTTTCTTCATGCTCTGCCCACTACTGGACAACATGTTTAGGGTGGGACCTGATTAATGCAGAATGCAATGAAACCATTCCTTTCTGTTATTTAGAATATTGACGTCTTTTGATTCAGCCTAATTTGCACTGACCTTTTTTACCATCACTTCGTGGTGCTGATTCAAATTCAGTTTGTAATTAACACGTACAGTATGTCAAAAAAAAAAAAATTCTGTAAATACCATTGTGGGAATACATACAGTATTCCCCATTCCCCATTTTAATTCTTCTTCCATGGAGTACAATTCTGTGAACTTTCAGTCTGTTGTTATTACCTTCTTCTCTAAAATTTCAAGCTCATTTTGGATACTATTTTTGTCTTCTGGAGCTTCTGGTAGCATCTAGCTGACCTTGGCTGATCTTGACCAGACATAGTTAGTACTTGGAGGAGGGAATCACCAGGAAATATCAGAACTGTAGGCTAGATTTTCTAGAAAAAGGCAATGGCAAATGAACTTCTGCATCATTGTAGGCATTTGGCTGTGTGAAACTTTCAAAAATCCTTTGCAATATGTGGGAATATGTACAACGCTCCTCTTTTCAAACTATTCTAGCAGCTACTTGATTTGCAAGGCCTGTATGGTACTTTGTAAACTACTCAGCTATGTTTCTATTTGTATGGAAAATGTAATTCTCAATGGGTTGTTTTTTTGTTTTTGCTTTTTGGCTGTTACTTTGCATATTGGGAAGGCTTTGCATAGCCTTAATTGATATGTCAGAAAGTCACCAGGACTGAATTCAACTTTTGTGGAATCTGAAATTTTGGTTACGATCCTCTCCACTTCCTCATCCAAGTCATTAATAAAAATATTGAAGAGTACAGTGCCCAGGGCTCCTCACTCCAGTTTAATAAGGAACCATTGATAAGCGTCTTTGACTCTGATTTTCAAGCCAGCTAGGCTTCTACTTAATTATCATGCTGTCCGGCCCACACTCAATTACCTTACTAATCAGAATGTCACGGGCACTTTGTCAAATGCATTGCTGACATCAAAATACATCATATTTACAGCATTCCTACAATCTATCAAGAATGTTACTTGAAATAGAAAATCAAGTCAGGCTGAAAAGTTTTGTTCTTGAGAAAACCATTCTTTTTTTCAGGGGCTTATAGTTCAATTGATTTTTAATTTACTTTAGCATTTCCCTAGATAACTGTGTCAGGTTTAGATAACCCATAAGTCCCTGAATTTTTCTCTTCCCCAACCCCATCCCATTGAAAATCAGACTTATTCAAACGTTCTCAAAAATAGTACATAAAAATTGACAAATCAGCAAGTTCCTTCAGAACTCAAGGATGCAATTTATCTGAATATTAAAACTCATTAAAAGGAAACTGATATTCCCTGACATGCTGCAATCATTTTTGGGATTCAAGTCCGCTCTGTTTCCAACGGATTTGTTACAACTGGTCTCAGATGAAAATATATGGGTGTAGGGAGAACAAGGTTTGGTGATTGAAAGTATTCATTTACAAAGGTAATTCCTGTACCAGGAATCTTTTAGAGCAGGGTTTCCCAAACTTGGCAACTTTAAAATATATGGAATTTGAATTTTTGAAGTACCAAGAAATCAAACAATCTATATTATTGGTACAAGGAGATGGAAGAGCTCAGTCACTTTTAGGGACTGAGTGTGAAACAAATCATGAAACCTTCATGAACAGATTCCAAGTTAAACTAAAATGGAAAAATAAAAACAATCAGTTCCCACACTATGATCTTGATATTATTAATTGATTATGTGCCATCAAGGTGCTGACAACTCTTCGTAACCACATACATCTTACACAGGATGATTGATTCCTCAACCTAGCCTCTTGAGTTTTTGATGCTGTACCCATCATTGCTATACTTGTATCCTTGCTGCTGGACTCTGTTCTTTCCCTCTTCGCCATAATGGACAAAGGAACTAAGCAACATGAGATTCTAAGTCTGGTCATTTGTGACGTAACTCAGAACTCTGGATTAATTAGTTTTATGATCCATGTATTTCTTTTCTTGGTATTCTTTTCATATGCCAGTGTCAGTACTCTTTCTATTCTGTCGAAGTCCAACTTTTGCTCCTATAGAATGTGAAAGGGAAAATAGGGGAGATTTTCCATAGAGGGAAAATGATTGTCTGCACAATTTGGATCTTTTTAGGTAGGGTCACATCTCAATATCTTCTCAAAGGCCTTCATCACTATCAAGTGCTAGTCTTTGGAATATTTCTTGAGTGATTATTCCTTTATTATTAACAGTCGATTCTAAAAAGTCAGAGTTATTCAAAATCTTCATTGTCAATTCTAAGGCTGTTTGCTGTACCTGTCATTAATTTAATCTAAGAGGAATAATGCAAGTCTGGCAAAACATAACTGAGATGTATAAAATCATGATAAAGTCCTCCCAGCTTCTTCAGCTTATTGCAATCTATTACCTATTGCACACTTTGCTCAGGCTGGATTTAAGAAAGTGGTGACCAAGGTTAAACACAGTGCATTTGATTTAGATTTACAAAACGATATATCTAAAACATAATTTCACCCTTGATGTCCTTATGTGCACTCCTTATATTATCCTCAAAAATCTTTATTACATTTCCACACAGAAGGACCTTTATTCTGGTGAGATTTTAACCTTACCCTCAAAGGTGAGGGAGGAAATATTTCATACTTCCTCTTATCAAGAACATTTCAGTTACAGAGGCTGAGCCAACTGCATTTGCTTCTCTGACTTGCCCTGTGTACCACACCTCATGCCTAATATTAATCTCCCGAGTAAGGGACTAGTTTAGAGAAATGTCTAAGAAAGTTGTGTAAAGATTTGTACCATAGCAACTATGATTAGAACATGATAAGTCTACCTAGAATTAGATAGATCCACAATTGCCACTATATGTCTTATGGTGCTCAGCAAGTTATTATTTTGTTATTTTCTACTGTTAGTATTCTTACTAATGCCAATATATTCTCATTTCTCCCTTTTCTTTTTATAGTCACTTCTTATCCTACTGCAATTTGTTTTATCTGCTTTATTTAATTTCTAATTGTTCCTTTGATCCATGACTACAAGATATGGTAAAATATAAGCTACTATTTACAAACCATAGTATCAGGGCTCATGCAACATGCAAAACCAAAACTAGACAAATCGTATAATAGCATACCACCATAAATAATCATACTTCACCCCCCCCACCTTTTCTGGACTGTGGCTATCAAAAACAACTCTAGGCAGAAAGAGAGGCTTTAAAATAGCCACCATTAAAATAATTTGGAAAGCCAGTTTGGTGTGGTCATTAAGCCATAAGGTTAGAAACTGGGAGTTCTTGGGGTTTAGTCCTGCCTTAGGCACAAAGCAACTAAGTGACCTTGGGCCAGTCATGGTCTCTCAGCCCGCGGAAGGAGGCAATGGCAAACCACTTCTGAGAACCTTGCCAACAAATGATAATGGTATTTATTCAGGTGGTCTCCAAGAATCAGGCACAATTGAACAGAAGGGAGAAAAAGGATAATTGGAGCCTATTTTTAAAATTTGCAAGTAGAAAACTTTATATGATTAGAAATTAGAGGCTTTCCCATTTTTCCTTGCACAGACTAGTATTCTTGTGAGAAGGAGATCACAGACTGCCAAATGAGGTGTTACCATAGTCATAAAACATAATTAAGCATGTGATTAAAAGTATTTGTATCATGCAATCCCTGATAAATATAGCATCATTCTGGAATACAAATGGAGTAGATCTGGCAACCTCCACCCAGAAAAGGTGGGGGAGGGGAGAGGCGGCAGAAGAACATATTAAAAGACGCTTCCTCACTGGAGCCTTTTCCCTTAAGTGGTAAGAGAAAAATAGGTCTTTTGAAATATATGTCTATTGAGATATTTCACCTTTGCTGCCTACCTCTCTAATTTTCTGCATAACTGATGAAAACATGTCCTGTCTTGGCAATTGTGCAATGTAAAAAAGAGAAAGAAAAACAGTAGCAACAAGACATCATGTCCAGTTCTGACAATTTAATTTCATATCCGAGATTACTAGCTCCTGCTAATGCTTGCCCCCATATTCAAAATGGCTGCCCCTCCTCACTCATACCTGAAAGAAAACCAGTGGTTAATGTATTTTCCTGTGATTTCAGAGTGGCTGATTTTTTTTTTTCTTCATCATGCATACCTGTAGAACATGTCCCCGGGTTTTTCCCATTCTCCAAAGCCAGCCAGGATATTCCCCATTCCCATTCACTGTTCATAATGAGCACAAATATTACATTTAAAACTCATCATAAAACCACTGAAGGTGCTGTTGATATGCTTGTTTACGATTAGAACTTCCTTCTGCAACGTGAGTTGAATTCATAATACCAATCAATGAAATATTTAAGATGCTGCACTGAGTGGAGTCAGTGGTGGCCGGAGATTATTTTAGTTGGCCCCAGTGTGCACTTCACAAGCTTTATTTTTGCTCTTCCTGAAGTGAGCTTAGTCTATCCTGAGGGACCAGAAAGATCACAGCAGGTTGCGCCGATCATTAGGAAACAGAGTGCAAGAACCGTAAGTTGGTTTCCATGGAGCTCAAGTCTACTCAGTGCCTTGGGTTTTTTTTTTTACTTGTAATCTGGTTTATTCTAATACCAAAATCAATATATGTCATATATGGTTAGCTTCTCTCAAGATTTCTAATCTTTTTTGGATGCAATTGCTTTTAATAATGTGTGCAGACAAATTTGTACAATTTTCTGAATTTTGAGACCTAAAGGCTTGAAGGCCTAGGAGAACTCAAAACGAGGCAGAGTTTTCAAAGGCCTGCAGGATCTTGTGGCAATGAAGACAAGATGGGTCTGTGAAATTTTCTCTCGTTTTTTTTCTTTCTTCTATGTGTATTTTCTTATACACTTTTCTTAATTTTTTTTTTACTTCATGCCACCTTTTTCTTTTTCTTTCCTTTCATCTTACTTTATATTATTTCATGTTTATCCTTTAGTTTTGAAAAAGCTTAATAATTTTTTTAATCTTTTTTTTTTTTTAAGAAAGATGGGACTGAGAAAGAAGAAAGACTCAAATTTGAACCAGTGTAAGACCTGGGAAAAGTTGATTTGCTAATGTAAATATATTGCTCAAAACCCTGAAGAAATGCAAAGACACTGTTTTTAATTAATGTGGTTTCTTTCCAAGAGCAATAGTTAAAATATAGCGATAAATTCCTCTGTTTAGTTGTAAGCCTCTTAAAGGCTTTTACAGAATTCTCATCTTGAATGAGCCAGGCCTATCGGTATGAACCTACTTCAGTGCTATTCTTCCTGAGCTAAAAGTTTACAAATGGGATGCTATAGAGCAGGGGTGTCAAACTCGCATCATCACAGTGTCATCAGTGATGTATCATGACTTTTCCCTCCTTCACTACACCGGGCATGCGTGTGGCTAGTGCGTGAGGCATTTGGCACATGGGCCACAAGTTTGAAAGCCCAGCTATAGAGAATAAGGACCTTGGCCAGTGGTAGGTTGTTCCTGGTTCGCCCTGGTTTGGGCGAACCGGTAGTGGTGGCAGTGTGAGGCTCCACCCACCCACCCAGACATCATCAAAAATGCTCTGCACAGGTACAGAAGCGCTGCATGCTCACAAATCGAGCCCAATAGCGAACTGGTAGCGCCAGGATTTGAATCCCACTACTGACCTTGACAGAGATTTTATTTATTTATTTATTTATCCATTCATTCATTAAATTTTTAAGGTACCCTTCTCACTGTTGAGCAACATATGCAGAAGCTGTTGCCTAGGCAAAAGGGCTGAAACATTTTTTAAGTTCCATATCCAAATAACTTTTAGAAGTAGCTCAAACAGACGCCTCTCTAATAGACTGAACTATAAGTAGGGAAATGTACAATATAATCAGAAGCTTTATAAGATTCTGTTATTTATAGACAATCTCAATAAATGTAATTTTAGCCTTTCTACGGAGCTGATTTCATGATCTGGACTTCTTAATGGGGCTGACAGATATACATAGCTCAGTACCCAAAGAGAATGTTCACACACAAATTAACCACAGATACTTTCTTTGCTTACAGTGTATCAATAGCTCAATTAGCATCTTTTAAAAAATGCCAGAGAAGTTGAACGAATGGATCAGTTTAGGATTTTCTTTCTAGGAAGGAGAAAGATGAATTAGGCATGATCTCTCCTAATTCATTTTCTTTGCAAATAAATGAAATGAATGGATACAATTATATAGTATGATAATTGTAAACTAGATATGTTTAGTATGAATGACTAAAACAAGAATTGTGAGGTATAAAGTTAGGCATCTATAATATATACTTAGGTAGGCAGCTACAGAAAAGTATTCAAAAAACGACAATATTAGGCAAGGAAATAGAGTAAAAAAAAATCATTGTTTATTACAGATATAATTATTTTTCATTAACTTCGTGAAAAATCATTTATATAAGTCTCACCTTCACTTAATATCCTATCACACATTAGTCATTATTCAATCATATGAACCAGTATACATTTTTGAATGCATTTTTCCATAATCATTCACAGAACAGGATTAGAAAAAAATATTGATCTGCAACGTGTTTTATTGCTTTCTGAAATATGAACACCAGTTACTAAGAAACGGGAAAGCAAGGTGAAAAGATCAATTAAAATGCAGTTTTGACATATTCTTTTTAGAACACACACACAGTTTTTCAATAGACAGAGCATTATTATTCATCTTGTGCTTTAATTGTAAGTTCTTTATAATGTCAGATCTCAAAGGGCAACTCCCTTAATCTTACCTGGAGGCCTGAACTGAAAAATAAGAGGGGGTTTTATATGACACATATAAACAGCACAAGCATATTTACTAGAAAGAAGGCGCTGAAAAAGTTGTTTCTCAGTCTTTGCCCATCAGTTCTTTTCCTCCTGTTTCTCCTCCATTCCAACTTTTCCTAGCTTTCTCCAGCTGCTGTTCTGAACAGGGGAGGTATTCACTTACTTTCCCTACCGGTTCACAAATATGAGCGTGCTTCGCTCGCACACGCCCCCGTGCGAAGGCCACGCATGCACCTGGCTTTCCGCGCATGTGCTTTGCTGGCCCATGTGTCTTCTGCACATGTGCCCGGCCTCAAAAATGTGCCCAAATAGGATGGCATAGAGCCAGGGTGGGTGGGCAGGCCCACCCAAGATTTCCGCTAGCAATTCGGGAGAACCAGTCTGTACCGGCTGAATACCACCTCTGATTCTGAATCTTCAATCCGCCAAATAACTGATAAAAAGATTTTTAATGATAGCTAGTAGGTTACAGCAGGGGTGAAATCTACTTACCTTCCCAAGCGGTTCAGAAGTGCGCGTGTGCGTCATGTGCATGCGCGGACCATCTGCGCATGTGCAAACCCTTCTGCACATGCACAGAGGGTAAAAAACAGGTTACTTCCCAATTAAAACCAGAAAGTAACAATGACCAGGTGGGTGGGCGGAGCCTCGTGCCGCCATCGCTACTGGTTCTCCAAACCGCCAGCTGCGATCACTACCGATTCAGTTGAACCGGTCCAAACCGGGAGCCTTTCACCCCAAGTTACAGTCTAAACAATCTCCTTTATCCTATAGGTTTTTACTAAGAAAACAGTTCATTTGATAAATAACAAAATATGATTCATACAAAAATCATCCATGCTTGTTAATGGTAGGGAGCCAAGAGGCAGAAGAGACAGCACCCTCTGTAAAATGCTCTTGAAATTTCTTTAGTTCATTCTATGTGCTTGTTTTTATACAGCTCATGGTGAGAAATAAGGTTTCTACCGTATAGTGCAATATCGGGTTTTCAATTTCAATTATATAGAATGTAAAGGATGTATGTTTGTGTTTTTATTTTTATAGTTATAATGTACACTGAAGACGGCATTTAATTTCGTTGTACCATGTGCAATGACAATAAAGTAAACTAAACTAAACTGTGAATACTTTTTTTGGGGGGGGCAGGGTGCCTTCAAGTCAGTCTTGATTCCTGGCGAAGGCCTGGAGAACATCCTGACATTTTCTTGGAAAGGTTTTTCAGAAATGGTTTGCCATTGCCACCTTCCTAGGGCTCAGAGAAAGTGACTGGCCCAAGGCAAGAAGCAGTGGATGGAAACTAATCCAAAGAGAAAAGCAACCTGGAATTAAGGAGAATTTTTTTTAACAGTGAGAACAATTAACCAGTGGAACAGCTTGCCTTCAGAAGTTGTAGGTGCTTCATCACTGGAGGTCTTTAAGAATAGACTGGACAGACACTTGCCTGAAATGGTATAGAGTCTCTTGCTTGAGCAGGGGGTTAGACTAGAAGACCTCCAGGATCTCTTCCAGCTCTATGCTGATTAAGATCACCCAGCAAGGTCTAAGGCAGGACTAGAATTCATAATCTTCTGGGGACCTGAATGACTAAACCAAACTGGCTGTCTTCTATTATACTGTTTTTATCCTAATCTGCAGGCTTCACATCTTATTGATGTGCTATAACACAGAGAAATGAGTATCTGTTTGGATACACCTCCAGAATCCCAGATTTCTTGTTTATTTATTAAATTTATATGCTACCCATCTCACCAATAAGACAACTCTGGGTTGTCTGGATGGTTTACAAATGATAAATAAAGATAAATATAGAAACAATTAAAATTTAAAAAGTTACATAAGAGTTAAGACCAAAGAGATAGATGGCATGGCAGCAAGGTCGTCTTCTTATACGGTCAACCATCTTATACGGTCAACCATCCAAGCCAACTGGCAAAGTCAGGTTTTTAGACCTATGAAAGGCCAGGAGGGTGAGAGCAGATCTCACCACCAATAGTAGACTGTTCCACAGTGTGAAGACCTCAGCAGAATCCCATTGGGATGAGATCAGGGGTGAAATCCAACAGGTTCTGACAGGTTCTGGAGAACCAGTAGCGGAAATTTTGAGTAGTTCAGAGAACCAGCAAATGCCACCTCTGGCTGGCCCCAGAGTGGGGTGGGAATGGAGATTTTGCAATATCCTTCCTCCAGGAGTCAGGAGGGAATGGAGATTTTGTAGTATCCTTCCCCTGCTACACCCACCAAGCCACGCCCACCAAGCCATGTCCACAGAACCGGTAGTAAAAGAAATTGATTTCACCACTGGGTGAGATAGGTCCTCAGATTCCTCTGCTGTTATTTTTGGTGACTAGCAATAAATATCAGAGGTTCATCTGTTCCTGAGAGCTATTTTGTCATTGTTTCCCATATGCTGTGATGAATAGCCCAGCCTAAAGAAATGTTCCAACTCTGCTCTCATACTGAAGGATGAAACCCTTTTCCCTTTTATTTGAGACACACCAACCACTATCCACAGATTCTACAACCTATCACACTCTCCGCTAACCACAACAGTTAACAATAGCTATATGTCAAT